CATTTCATTCATACTGAAGTCATTGTACAATACATGTTGAAGAAAAAATTGATAGCCAATACTCATAACCTCAAAAATAGTTGTAGCCCGGGAGTTGTAGATACAAGTACTCATACAAGATAGGGCATTCAGTCTCAAATGATGTGGGATAGATAAAATCCAGTCTCCAAGTCCATACTAGGCGTTTCAAAGGGTCAACATCCATTCACAAAAGCCGTCGCCATAATCCATAAAACACAATAATTCACAATGGTCATCAGGAGAAAACTATGGCTGGTTTCGATCCCTATTTCTCAACAATTAATGCCATAGCCGGGATCCACCTCAAAAGGTGCCAAGTGAAGACATTGAATCAGACATAAGATTTCTTGCGGATTTTCTGCAACTGGCTTATTAAAGTTTATGTTTATATTACCTGCCAAAAATAATCAGAAGGTCAATTTGAGATTTTGATCTCAGCTTCTGTTGAAACAGGTGTGACTAATTATAATTCTTAATAAGCTTTGGTTTTTGTAAGACAGGATATTCGTCTAGCATCGATTGTTTTGAAGATAATCTTGTTAACTATTATTACCTCTATCTGCTAAGTCCCGATTTAATCCTTTTCTCATCCCCATATATTTGAAAAACAGATTGGATCAAAATGAAAACCTTAATTGACTCTATCATGATCATGATTCAATAAAGTCCTTTAACTGACTCAAAGTCAAGGATTCCGCCATTTAAAAGATCATCTCAATTGAGATTGTTATAACAAAACAAAGAATTATAAAATATTAAAATTTTACAATAAAAGGATGAACAATTCAGATGACTCTTTTAAGAAGTGAAGTCAAACGAATGCAAAGGGTAATGACAATCAGTCTAAAGTAAGTCAGTTTATATAACACTTCAACAAAACAAAAACGTATCGCTAGAGTATCATGGGTTACCATGGGTAGAAAATACAAATTAAATTAATTATTCCCTTCTCTTTTAGCTTTGTTTAACTGGTCTATTTATATAATACGGTAAAATGCCGCGAAATCAAATCCTTGCTGTAGTGAACACATACAAATAGTGAACATTTTTCTCGGCAAAAATGTTCACTATACGCATGCATGTTTTACTGTCCCAATGTAATGACATGGTCATCTGAGGTGTTTTTAAGGACACGGAAAGAGCAATCTCCTCGATTAATCAACAAATTAATTAATCGCATTATTTTCACAAACTATTAATCGGAAAAATCCACATTGACTAAATCATTGAGAAAATTACAATTTGTCATCACTAGCCTGTCATTTCGCGCGAATTTTTCATAAATCGCAAAGTTTAATCCTTTGGGGTTTAAAGCAGACATTTATTTGATATAAAATGACCAAAAGAGCAATAAAACCGAAACTTCTTTAAACAACCAAAAACACCTACCCGAATGCTGTATTTATTGAAACCCAATCTTCATAAATAGCTCCCAGATGTCCAAACACAATGACCAAAGGGAAAACACATCAATTTTAGACCAACAATTAGAAAAATTAGAAATTGGACACAGAAGAACATCGTAAAACCTCTCGTCACGTAAAGGATCAGCACACAGGTAACCAGTGTCAAATGACCCAAATACCTCATTTCAACAAAAACTAAAACTTCTTTGAAAAATAAACGAGGAATTGCTCAATTATCACGCTGTCATAGAACTAAGTATAGATAAGGTGTAGGTTCAAGAACAAAATAATTAATTCTATTTATATTCCTATCATCATTATTCTCTTCAAAATATTGTCGCCAGAATGGGATCCCATCAATCAGTATCCTAATACATATGCTTATCTTGTTTGCATGTGTCCGATTCACACTGATTGGTTCTGTAATCCTAATTAGTGATATCTATCGCCATGGCATTTGTGAAAAATAGACACTGATCCGAAGATTACCATACAGTTAAACATATTGTCGCGAACACCTATTTCACCCATTCCGATACTCATTGCAACCTTGTCTTGCAACGCTGGATGCTCATGGTTATTATTAAGCGACAACAAACTGAGCAAAGTAGAGATTGTAGCCTGGATTGCAGAGTATTCATTTTTGGGTAACCACGCACTGAGCCAAAGTATTGCAATGTGGTGGGACGGTTTTCACTATGGATTGAATCGCTGTATTAACTAGTACCCATTGATATCAATTTTGTTTTTGAAATAGCTAGCTGCCTTCTTGAGCATACTCTTTATTATCTTGTGTTGCTGTCATTAACAGTAAATTGATTTCAGTAATTGCTCATCAGACTAACACCCATATATTACAGACAGGGGGATGCACATATTTGGCTGTCAATAGGCTATTTAAATGTTCTTATGCCCTTTCATCGTGAATATCTTTGGGATAAGGGATTTTTCCTTAAGGGCCTTAAGTCTTGAAAAATGTGGCCTTTTCATAAAGTGGGTCAAACTTTTCAAAATACTCCTGCTTAATTACTGAACTTGGAAAGTATTCAGCGATGAGTAAATTAGACTTCAAAATCAGAGATAAAAGCTTTTAACATAAGTATTCTGTAATATTTCTTCATTAAAGTATTGATTAGTAATACTTGTAAAGATCTATTTCTTACCCCTTGTTACCCCCTCTTCATTTTGACATTTTATCTTATTAACTCATCTTAATTTGCCAGTAATTTCAATCGGTGATTGCCCGTTCAATCGGTGATTGCCCGTTGTAAGAATGGAGACGCAACGCTTATTAGAATGTAATTATCTAGATGTAGATTTTACTGAGGTTTCCCAATACCACGAGAGTCTTACAGTCTCATAGCATCTCTCTCTGTTGCATCACAGATGTCCAAAAGGATAGAGATGGAGAGGGTGTGGCTTACCACGATGCGTTTATGCTATATCTGGAAAGTGCAGAGGTTCAATATAGTTCATTCAAGTTGAATTAGTATAATACTGTGATTGTTCCGTTTCAGTATTAAATGAATCTGATCCCCCTGCCCCTTCGTGTTGTGAAAAAAACGTTGTCTACATTAGGGTTAACTGTGAATTCAGATATGTAAATTCAATGGGACAACGTACATCGAGATGACAACGTACATTAATGATTTTTTTTAAAAATTATTTTAGCAAAAACGTGAATATACGAGTATATTAAATCTTCAAAACATATTCTCATAAAAATAATCGACACACTCTTAGGCGACAGGGGAAAAGATGACCAATCACACCCACATCATAGTTTTTGCTTCATATCAGTTAGAATAGTGACACCGTACATCTAAAGTGTACGATTGCGTGTTTTGTCACTGTACGTTGTCGATGGATAGGCGTGATTCTGTATTCTCGGAATGCTATTACTATTATATGATGGGAATAAAACAGATTATAAAACTCATCTATTGAGCAATCAGAATGTAAAGTATTGGCAACGGATGGTTGCAGGGACAAACGCCGAGACATCCATCTACAGTAGACTGGTGCCATAAAAACGTAATGAGAGATTATTTATCTAATGCTTGTACTACTCTCTGCAACTCCGTCTACACTCTTTATACGAGAAAGATTTATTGATCAAATCATACTATTAAATAGTCAGAAAAGCAATGAAAAAACTCCATTTGATGATCTAGTAGTGGTGGAGTGGATAATGAGGGAGGGTTCAGACTCGAATCAAGACTAGACATTTTATCGCGGATCTTAGGCTTTATCTGTAAACATATTTTTATAATCAGAGAGTATTGTATTTAGCCGATTGGCCCAACTACACATCTGGTGGCAGGTGAAGTGGATAATGGGGGAGGGGTTCAGAGACTCGAATCAGGACTATACATAGTAGCCCGGACAGAATTGTTCAAAGGTCACTTTTTCTTTAATAACTTTTTTAACTTTCAGTATTATCAAAAACCAAAGACACATTCGAGAGAGTAAAATTAGAGTAACTAGAGTAAAATTCTGACATACAAAAAATATCTGAGGAACATCTATTAATATTATAGTCATTCATGCAAATACAAAATTCATCATTTTGTCTCATATTTGTTCAAAAATGGTAGCATGTTTTACAATTGTATGTACAGTACGTGTATATTGGTAGGGTCGCGGGACTTAACGTTTTTGTTTTTAGCCATTCCATTGTTACCAGTAGTGGATTAGCAGCTTGGTTTGTTTAACCCCTGCAGCTATAGGGTTATGCTGCTACCGTATTTCGATGTCTTTCCCAGTCACTCAGCTCTTTAACCATCCTTGCAATGCACGTGAACTGTTCTCCAGGTTTTCAAGGGCCCCTGAGATGGCTGTATGGGCCTCTTGAAAGGATGGGGGACCTACTCTCATCACATCCCGCGTATTGGGGCGCCACCTGTCACATCCTCTTGAGCACAACCCTCAAACATTTCAATAGATTCATGAGCTTTTGAAAGGAGTTTAACTTCTTGTAGGCTATTTGATTTTGGTCATTTGCTGTATTACATCAGGATCGTAACGGTGGCTGCATGTCCCTATAGGACCACGACCCTTCTAAATATAAACTTTCAACTGAACATTTAAATTCACGAAATATGATACCACTTTCGAACAAATATGAAACAAAATAGTGAATTATGTATTTGCGTCACTCATACTATGAACACCTATAACTTATATTAATCAATTAAGAGATATTCCTTATATATATTTTTTTGTGTCAGATTTTTACTTTAGTTTTCAAATGTGTTATTGGTTTTTGATAATACTGAAAATTAAAAAAGTTATTAAAGAAAAAGTGACCCTTGAACAATTCTGTCCGGGCTACTATATTGCTAAGATTCGTGGTAAAATGTAAACACATTTTATGGTCGGAGAGTGATGCATTTAGCCGATTGAGGATCAGTGTTTTTAAGTAATAACATAGGACAGTTAACACCCAACAGACAATAAATTACTGCTTTATTCATTCATTTATTTGTCAGTTGTTTAGATGAAAGTTTCATTGAAGGAGATACAAACATATACTGATGTCATTTGCCATTATACAAGGATATTAGTAATACCCCACAAGTGTTTAAGACTCTCAGTGCTGTTATTCCATCAGACGAAAAATAAAAGAATATTATAAGCTGAATCATCATTAGACAACTACTTCACGGGGCACCAAACCCACTGAACAAAACATCAAATCACTCCACATTTCATGATTGAAAAACAGGCATAAGAAGAACAAATGGACGGTTTCTCTACATCCCTTCGTTTTGTAACGAAAGGAGGATCTAATATGTCCAGGGAGTTGGTCGAATTAAACAAGACAACACCACTGTCAGACTGTCGCATCTGGAAGATGGCCATTTTGGACCTCATTTTCAAAAATAAACCCAATCCTTTTCAAGAATGGCCAACATTTTCAAGAGAGTCCAAAACATTTAAAAATATTATTGTGTTTTTTGAATGGGGGTGGGTATCAAGTTCCCTACACACCTTTCTTGTAAGGGACCACTCGCCAGTTTTGGAAAATACAACACCATCTGCTTTTTAGGGACCACATTTTTCTTAGGACCACACATTTTGAGTTGACGAAAAAATACAAAAAGGCTCACAACAAGACTAAATGATGGGGAAACATTGATTTTTGCAGGAGTAAGTGGTATTAGTAAACTCATCACACTCCATCCATTACAAAACTGACATGGAGGTATTTCTATAAGGCGATAAACTTAATCGCATGGTTAGTCTTGGTCGGAAGGTTAATGTCACCACGACTTCTTTCGGATTCTCTGTTCCAATAAAAGAAATGATGCCTGAAAGTGACATACCTGACATTGTCTTTGAGGCACTTAATAAATACTTAAGGACTTGGAGGAGTTCAAATTACAAAGGTATTTCCAAATTGAATCAATTCTACAATTCCTTTGGATTGATTAAGCAATTACAGCAAAGCAACTCCCCTCAAGTCTTTCCTGTCTTTGCACAATCTTTTCTCGATCAAGTCAATACATCCTCGGACCATTGGGTAATATACAGGGTGTCCCAAGACATATATGGAATAAATTTATGAGTGGTCAGGGAATATTCTGGAAATTTCATTATCTGATAGATAATTTTATTATCAAAAACACCTGAACGTTTTATTAAATAATTCTACTCTGTAGTACTTGAAAATGGCTTGTTTTAGCACCGTCACCCATTTATGCCATTTGGACTGCATTCAGCTCTGCATAATTATTTCAGGTTTGGTCATCAGGTCATTCAGAGCATAACATCTAAAATGAATCCTCTTCATTATGTTAAAAGTTTTTCAGTCCTGGAAATATCGACATTGAAAACATTAGCTTACCTAGAATTGAATTGTGATAAGTTTTAAAATCTATGATGAGAGTTTACTTATGAACGTTTTTTCAAGTCTTAGAATAATGGGAAAAAGTTTGTAGACAGTCTACTAATCGTTTTCAGGTCGTTATAGTAAGAATATATTTTGGAATCAGATTTAAAAGGGAGTCACTTTGATAAATAGAAAGATAAATTACCCTCAGGAATTGCTGCTTAATACGCTTGCATGTCAAAGTTAAAGTCCATTAGGAGGAAATTGTTGCATTTGCACAAGATTCTAGACGTGTCACATACTGATAAATACCAATGCAATTTTTTCAAGGTGCCAAGGCCTGTACTGGAGAAAATGGCCGGGAGACAATGGTATTATGTCCATGGGTAAACCAGAAACATATGTGCCTTGTTTTTGTCAAGATACCGACAAGACATTGTGAGATAATGCATAATAATCATGTTGAGAATAGCAACAAAATATTATAGGAATATCCTATGGTTTTGAAAAAATATCATTTATATCCATGAGTGGATATTGATATCTTTATGAGTGAGCGCAGCGAATGAGTGAAGATATTTGTATCCATGAGAAATAGGATTGTCCTTTTATCCCATGGGAAATCATCATCAGCAAAAAAAAAATTTTGTAGCGAAAAAATTTGAAGAATATAATTTGAGAAAAAATTTGAAAAAATAATTGAAAAATATTGTGAAAAAATGTTGATTTTTTTTTTAATTTTGATTTTTTTCAAAAAAATATTTTTGAAAATAATTAAAGAATGAAAAAAGAAAAAAATTTTGAAAAAATTCGAAACCATCTTATTATCATGGATACAAATATCTTCACTCATTCGCTGCGCTCACTCATAAAGATATCAATATCCACTCATGGATATAAATGATATTTTTTCAAAACCATAGGATATTCCTATATTATCCTACACTTAGTGTACTAAATGTATAATAACATGAAAAAATAAATTTGATATTTATTGCCAAAATGTATATCCGGAGGATATCGTAACGATATACTCCGGGCGGAGGATATCATGACAATATACTCCGGAAAACCCAATATGCGGAGGATATTGTGACGATATACTCCGCTTGTTGATTTCCCGCCAAATGGACTCTATTTGGCATGAAATTCATTTTACAATGATATTATACAGTCAATATGGTACAACGAAAATGGGACTTCTGCGCATGTTAAAATTTTTCGTCAAAACTCAACTTTTGTTCAAGTTGATACGATTGTCTTTCGAACTAGAGACTTACCTCATTCGAAAGATCATAAAAGACTTTATCTATGCTGAAAATCTTAGATCCAAACATAGTAGAATACGCCGCCAGTCCGCATTTGATTTTTTGAAGTGAGTTTCGTAGATCGTCAGATTTCTCCGACTGATATCGGGTTATCTCAAATTGGTTCGTTTATAAATACAAATTTCTTTACCGTTGTAAGGCGCATGCGCAAAATTGATTTATAAACGTGATTGGTTGATGGTTTTTCTCCTGAGCATGCGTGAAGTCTGATGAACACTTGTGACGAAGACCGGAGCAAACATTACTAGCTCTCAAACGAAATTCCAAGATTCAGATCATTTCGCCGTGTTTGCTAAGCGTGTATACGTGAATGACAAGCTGTTTTGAGTAGATCAGGTACCTGTTTTAGACACAACATTGATTTAGCTTGACATTGATGTGCACATTGGCACTTTTGAGCATGTTAATACAAGTTTTTACACGCTTAGCACGAGACGTGTTTTCGAAAAATCTGTTATCTGATTCACTCGATTATCGTATGGATATGTATTTCTGCTGACATTTCAACACCACATCACATAGAATTACGATGCAGAATGATAATAAAACACAAAACAACTACTAAATTCCACTTGTTATTTCACAGGAGTAAATTGCACACTGCCTAGATTCTTTGTAAGGGTCGTCAGACATCGGATTGGCCGCCATATTTGAAATGAAAATATCACTAAATAGAGGTCTGCGCATGTGTCAACATTTCGACTGTATACATTCAGTACACTCCTTGTAAGTGTAGGATAATAAGAACATCCTACTCGGTGATATTGATATATGCACTCGTTCGCTTTGCTCTCTCGTGCAGATATCAATATCACCTCGTAGATAAAAATGATATTCCTCAAAATCATAGGATATCCTATAATTATCTTCGGGTACATTTTCAATATATCAGATATTTCGAGATTTTAGGGTCTAAAAATATGCAAAAATTCTCGACAACTTGAATATCTCAATGGGAGTACCAGTTTCTCACATTTATCTGTAAAAGTGGAACATATATGTTTGTGGAACACCTGTAGTATCTCAATAGAGTGTTCCACTTTGGATGTGCTCCACTTACATTTTTATTAAATTAATAGTTATTTGAACTTATGTTCCACTTACAGAAGTTCATTTTCATCAAGTTTATTGGTAACACGGGACTTTATTCCATTTGAATATTAAGTTTACAATTAAATACGATAGAGTAAAGAGGCAATTTCGATAATTAACTACATCAAAATCACAAAATACAATATATGGTAGAAATGTGAAAATGATGAAAATGTTAAAAGCTTGCTTGGGGGAAAGCATGTTCACTAATAGAAGGGTATGGTTAATGTTGATTTATAATATCCAAACCCTGGAAAATATAATAGCTAACATTTATATTTGCCGTTCATTCTCAAATTTAGTGAATCCACTATCTCCAAATAATAACGCGGCATTAACATGCAAAATGCCACCACCTGCAATTTGTTACAAACACCTTAATTTGTTATTATCAAATCAATAAATCTACATATTCTAAGACAAACTGGCAACAAAAATAAACCACATCATTTCTTCAAAAATATTTATTTATAAAATCATTCTTCAATAGTGCCTCTACTACCGGATTCAATCTATAAAATTCAATCTACAGGGTGGCCCAAAAAATTGGAACATTTGTTAATTGAATGGAAAATCTTTATTTTTCCTCTAAAATGCACCAAAACTGTACTGAGTAGAGTTCAGTCACTTATTTATCTGATGTAAAGTTTATAGGTGAAAACAACAAAATTAATGCATTAAACTAGACAATGTTTGATATGACCCCTCTAATCCTGAATAAGTAGTTTAAGCCTAGGACTCAGTTTTGAAATTATTCATTCAGTTTGCTGTTTGCTTGTTTGTTTTTGTCAAAGCCATCTTGATAAAAAATTTCAGCTTGACCAAACTCCCTATATCTTTGCTTTGGAAGATCACATCTGGTAACATATTCAACATTTTTTATCCAAATTGATGGGTATCAAGCATAATTTGATGGCTATTGTTGGGTGTATTAGTGTCTTACTGATGGAATATTCGTCTCCAGAAAGGGACCAGGGCAGTCTATTTTGACTGGTGAATGAAGCCCCATCCTCTTTATTGTTCTAATATGAATAATATTCATCAAATATATCAATATACGAATATCAATATCAGAAACGAGTCTCCCTGAACACAAATGATGTATTATATTATATGTGCTAAGAGGTGGTCTTTAATAAAGCCTTGTAAATAACTGGTCAGTTTTGCCTTAACTGAAAAGTGGAAACAATGATTGTGTCACTTTAGCAGCTGTGTGGGTAATGCAAATGCTCACCTCTGACATGTTCCCCTTTCCTCTTAAATAAAAATAATTAGTTTGGGTATTCTTTACATTGGCATTAACACAATAGTTTTCTAGTAAACCATAGATAAAAATACCTCTTTCAACTGAATATGATTTTATAAAATGAGTATTGCAATCTTCATGTTCATTAAAGCTTTGAAATAAAGATTACTTGAAAAAGAAGCAGCAAAATTGACAAGTGTACTTTTAAGGAAAGGGGGTCCTATCAAACATTGACTAGTTTAAATGTATTAACTTTGTGGTTTGCACCTATAAACTTAACATCAGGTAAATAAGTGACTGAAATGGAAATTTGGTGCATTTTAGAGGAAAAATAAAGGTTTGCGTTCAATTAACAAATGTTCCAATTTTTTGAACCACCCTGCACATGTAACTGATTAAGAGGCTAATAAATGTAATCAACACCATTTCAATTATTCAAGATGGCCTGATAACAGTCATTTTCAGGATAGACAAGCGCTTGTGATTGTATTCTAATGCTGAAAATACATCGCTTGTCTAATTTGAAAAGCATGGCTAATAAATATCGCCTGATATTTCATGACATGTGACCCTACTTGGGCCAATCACACAATTGCAAGCTCGACAGTGATGTAATATTCCCATTATTCCAACATAAATACTGAAGCCCTCTGTTCCTACGTCCACGAAACATAAAACAGAGTAGGAGTTTTGCTACTGCACTATATTCAACAATATTATGAAACATATTCAATACTATTCACTCACACACACGCCAACCCTACAGTGATACAGTCTTACAATGAGGGTGTTTTATGAGTGCGATAAAGGAGCTAAGCAAAATGCTAATCCCTTAAGACAGCAATATACCGCAATACTAAAAGCAGCGGGTTCATAATCAGCGAGCAAACAGGCATTTTCTTCAGTTTTTCTAAGTAAAATTGCTTGTTGTTTCGAAAAACTGCAACTGATTCCTTGTTAAAATGATTATTTTCAGATGATTATTTTTACCTATTGATTTTATTCAATTTGCCAGTTGTCAGAATCCCCTTTAAAAGTTAGATTTTGCTCAGTCTCTTGTGAATTTGGATGAAAGGCTGTAAAACATACAATAAATTTCCATTGGCCTTAATTCCAGTCCATGAACAGTTTTTGCAATTGAACTGTCAAAACTGCCAATTTACAAAGTGTTCTTTAATATATTGCATCTATCTAGATGATCTTACATTATACAATTTTAAATAGCCATTAACCTTTACTGAGAGTACTGATTGAGAGTTCTCAGCCCATAAGAATATATCATAGGGGTCATATTTTGAATTGCAAAATAGAGAGAAATTGGGAGGAATTAGCAAGGAATTATGTTGATAGTCATGTAGTTAATACTCTTAATTGTATGGAAATGCATAAAAGCCAAATGGTTCATTCAAATTTTAAAGAGAAATTTCATGAAATGATCAAACCAAAAGATAAAATATGAATGTTCACTTTGTGCCAGTGTTCTGAATCCCAAGCTAATTCACTAAATCTCCTCTTTATTTTTCATCTACAGCAATTATATTTTTAGAGGCAGGTCATAATGAATACTAATAGATGGTCAAGGCCATTTTATCTGCACCCTTTTAAACTTTGTTTTCAAGGCATCAGCTTCTTTACTGATCTTACTTCCGGTGCTGTCATTTGTCCCTGCTGATCTTTTACCCAAAATTGTACCGTCTGATTTTGCCTCCAGTTTGTCGTCTTTTGATGCAACTGTTTTACACTGGATGTGTTTGTTAATAATTGATATTGGAGAAATAGTAACAGGGTTCTTGGTTGATTCACTGGTCTTATTTGGGCCTGTAGATTGTTCTGATTTTGGTGATGTAATCTTAAGTATTCCCTTTGTAGCGCATGGTTTTTGAGTCACTGCAGGTTTTACAGAATCTGTAAGTTTGGTAGATTTAGAGTATGTCTCTGAGTGAATTTTCACAGAAGTACTGTTTTTGGAATTTAGTTTGGTGGCGCCATCTTTGGTTGCTAGACATGGTGGGGGCTTTAAACGGCTAATAGGAGGCGATTTTAAACGATTTGTAGAGGAATTATTTGATGTTGAAAGAGATGATGGTTCAATGGTTGGTTTACCTCCTTTGCCTATGGTATATGTATTCTGTGGAGTGCTGAAACATATTGAATATTTAGATTTAAAATCATGCTCAGGGAGAAACCTTTTCAACAAATGAGAAATTTGGATTAAAAATATTATATCTTTAAAAATGTCATGTCTATTAAAAGGCAATAACCGTCATGACTACATGTCAAAAGCTGCATGAACACAGTATTTGAATATGAATCTACCTAATGGCTCCACAAATCATTGCTATAGAGAATAAACTATAGTTTGTTGCCATGGTAGCAAATACTGGCTAAAACTGTTCACTACTGTTACCTTGGTAACAGATGTTCCAATTATAAATTCAAACATGAAAAATGTCTTTGTCGTCATGGTAAATGTTTTATTCTAAGTGAATATGAACACTTCTTGAATTACTGCCAGTCACAAAAGTTCCAACTGTAGGAGGTTACATGTTCAGTAAGTCCCCTGATTCGTTGCCATGGTAACAGATATTGCCAATTATGTGGTGAAACGTATAACGCTTTGTTCACTTTGATTAATCACAGGAGATCTTGACACTGATCAGGGAGATTATAATACCTTTCTTTTTGTCCTGGGGCAGTAATCTTCTGTCTTTTGGCAGTCAAGATCTGTCTTTTTGTAATTTCCCGACCACGTCTATTTAGTCTGTGTTTCCTCTGGGGAAGTGGGAGTATACTTTTATAATACATGTCTACTAGGGCCTCCTTGTTTAGGCTCTCTGGGTCAACAAGTGGAACATTTTTCTGAAATTACAAAACATGTGACCTCAGAATATAATGTTTTATTCTGAAAATACAGATAGGCCTACACCTAGGAAAATGAAATTACATGTAAATGTGTTAAACTTTTGAGTTTGACAATGGAAGTTTTGAAGTTAGTCGATTAAGGCACCCCCTAACAGACATTAAAGTAGGGAGGTCAAGTTCAGCAATCAATATAAATCCAAAAACATAATTATGATTGGGGAAGGGCATGAAGCCCTTAAAAGGGTCTTACATTTTGTTAGCAAACATTGATTTTAAAAGAAAACAACTATTGATATAATTTTTTCATGAAGGATGGGGTCAGGAAGGGGCCATGTCTTATCTGATATCCTCATAAGATCTAATCTTCTCATTTCTATGAGATCAATGCTCATTTGATACTCAATTAGGTGTAGCTTTAACAGGTTTCTGTTTAAGAAACAACTCTCACTCTGTATGTCCTTGATTTTAGTTATTTTAAAACAAAATGGACATCTCATTTGTTTAGTTGTTTTTTTACTCTGTTGTATCAACTATAAAAGAATGTTGTGATTTTGGATCAAATAACTCAATTTTGATTTTAAAAAATGTATAATTTGATGAGATCAGTCTGTCTACCATTTTGCAACTGTAAATATATCTATACAAGGCACTAATATGCAAAATGTCACAACCTGCCATTTACAACAGATGCTGAGCTCTGAACGCCTGATGCCAAACTCAAAACATTAACCACCAAATACCATAAATTGTTAGAGTCCACCTGCCATTTGTTTACATATGCCAAACTCCAACTGCCAAACCCCAAACCACTGAATATCAACTACAAAACACGAACCACTGAACACAGTGCACAAAAAAGTTAGAGTATAACAGACTTCTACCAGCAAATTGAGAACTTGATCTTTAACATTCAAACATGAAATATCCTATGATTCAACTTGGATATCTTCCATGTAAAATGTCAAGCTGATTATGTTTTAGAATGAAATATGTCACAGTGGAATGAAAAACATAGTGACTTCAGATATAAATGCTTTCTCTAACAACTCCAAGATATTGTTTATGTTATGTAAGGGCCATTTTTGTTTGCTTAATGCAACTCAATTTTAATTTGGAGGTGGTAACATGAAAATCCAAGACCTGCCCAGTTGATCACTGTGAGGTGCCTAATTAAATTCAAAGATTATTTACCAATTACCCTTGAAAGCAACTTCATAGGAAGATCCCTATTTCTGAAAAAGACCAAGAACAGAGTATGATGCACATACGATTTAACATTCTATAATTTAGTGTAAATCAATTATGAGTTATGAGGGGACTATACTATTAAACCAAATACCAATATGTAATAGTCATAACCTTTGTTTTCCATTTACATTTTATTACTGATATGTTCCCTTGACAATCTTTGATGCTGGTGTTTTAAAGCTTTGTTTTTACTTAAAAGTAACAAATCATAGTCTTTTATAGTTTCTAAATCATAAATGCAATTGTCTCTGATGGCTGTCAACTTCTGCAGTTCGCTTATTATTCTTTACTTTATTCTATTGAATTAGTCTGCCTTAAGGATGAATTGTGTTTTCGATTCAAGTTGAAGAATTTGATGAGAATTTTTGTTTTCTCATTTTTCTCATTTAAATTTCAACTGAATATTAGTCACGTATGTAGTGAGTAGATTGTGGTTTCGAAATATGATTACACCTAGGAAATGTTTAGTTAATTAACAAATCAATTTCCTAGCCTAGGAAATGAAGATTTTTGAAGCATGAAACGAAGACAGCACATTTCAATGATATCGGAATGTACGAATGGCCATGCAGTCACAATAATAGTTCAACTCTTCCAAGACATCTACAATGTGCTTTCGAGTGTGATGTGACCCTCTATGGGATATTATAACAATATTAATATTATAACAAGGCACAGACGTGAACAATAATGTACCTAAAACACAGCAGTGTGACAGTGAAGAATTTAGGACGGAAAATCCAAAATGGCCACCTTAAAATTTACCCAGAATGCCCAAAAACTAATCAGTTCTTAACTTTGATACGTAGAAACATTCCTGAAAATTTCAGATGAATCTGTCAAATGGTTTGGTTGGAAACCTGTAGACAAGCTGAAAAGTGAGACGCCGCCCGCCCGTCAAGCTGACGACAATATCATACCTTTATTAGGTACGATAAAAAGTAACATCTTCGTTGCAAGTAAAATATGTCTTTTTATCCCCAGGTGTAAATCCTCTATTACACACAAGTGCAACATGTTATGCCTTGGTCACATTTGCCACGATTTTCACTATGGCGCCCGGCAGATTGAGTATTTTGTTCAAAATTGAATACAAATTTGAACCAAACACTCAATCGGCCGGGCGCCGGCCGATGGATCGGAGCAAATATGACCCAGGCATTAGGGTAGGAATGAAAATCTGTAACTCACATTCCATATACAGTTAAACCTAAGTCTCAGTGATCACCTCTCTATTGTGAACACCTGTGTCTAGTAAACACCTATTCTCAGCACATTCTCCGCTGACTTCTGAATAAAATCGCCTCTCTGTAGTGAACACTTACCTATAAAGAAACCATTTTGTGGCTCCATAGGTGTTCACTCTATTCAGGTTTTGACTGTAGAGAAACAACCAGCCTCAACTGGACTACAGACATACAAATAGTCTAACAAGACACAGGGGTTTCATTAGCAGCAGGTAACAGGCAATTTTCACTAGTTGTTTTCACAAAATCGCCTGTTGTTTTTAAGGACTTTTCAACTTTTCCATGTTAAATTCATGATTTCCATTAATTTTGCCTGTTGTTTTCATTTATTTAGCCTGTTGTGAGAAATCATAGTGAAACCCCTGAGGATACTAGACTTCCTCAGGCGCAACTTCCACCACTGCTAATCAGTTGACACCTAGGTCTCTCCTCTAGTTATGTTAATAAAAATAACTTCTTTCCCAACAAAGTTCACTTGGGACATTAAACAATTGATCTTCATCTTTAAAACAGCGTGTAAATCTTACTAATTGTAAAATAGGATACCAGTTAGGTGGGCATTATCCCGAGGGGCAGCACACTATTGTTGGGGTATTTTAGCAGTGGATCTTCTTAAAGTAAGCAGACTACTCAACTTTGTTCATCAAATGTGACAGAAATTCAAGTGATGTGGAATCATTTGATGATAGGTGTTTCTATATTATTGTCAAGTATCTGTCACAAAATTTTGCAGGGCCTCAAAAATGGGCCTTTTCGGGCATAATTTGGCATTTTTAGGCCTTATTTAAGCCAATTTATCAAAAAATGGGCCTTAATTTTTCAAAAAAAATTTCCGTGCAAGCACCAACATTTTTTCCAGACTCAAAATTTGGGCCCCCTTTGTTAATTTCTGGATCGGCCACTAATTTGGTATAATATTATTGTTCAATTACCATAAAAATCAAAATACAATAAACAAACCTGACGTGACAGAGATTGCCCCTATACCTACTAATTTTATCGGAATGTGAACTGGAACACATGAGAAATGCGTCATGCATACACAGGTATAGAGCCTTGGAGACATTCATTAAATGGTAAAAATAATCTACCGAATTATCAGTAGTTTAGAATGGTTTGAAAATATGCCAAATACATGCACGACTCTCCTCGATTATTTTTCTTCAGCACTGTGGAAATTCCCCAAGGGAGGGATGATAAATTAGAGAATCCCAAAAGACTGGCCATTCTGAACAGCTTCTCCCAATTTATATTATGTAAGATAGATGATGCTGACTGCAAAACATACAGTACATGTAGCCTGCAGTCCATTTCACTGTTTTATTTCGTCAGTAGAACCCAAAAATTAGAAATCAGGAGACCGTTGTGCAATAATATATGGAAAAGTATATTCATATTGTACATGAATGACATTTGTATATTTCAGATCATCTAATCTTGTGCAATAAGCCCATGCCCTCTTGTAATTTAAAGAATTTCAGCCATGTTAATCTTTTTGAAAATACTAGACTAAAGTCTGTTACACTGCTTCAAAGGCAAGCAGTTAAACCTGAAATATAAGAAATCTAAATAATATTGTGCAATAATATGTAAAAAAATATATTCATATTGCACACGAATGGCATTTGTATATGTTGGATTGCTTGTAAATTGGCTCATAAAGTCTGTAACTTCTTATATTTTGATGCATCTCTACCATGTTAATTCTCAAAAAAAACATGGCGGACAGACCTCAAATTACAAGAGGGCACAGGCTTATTGCACTAAACACTAGTGTTGTCGCGATTAATCGAAACATCGGGATATACATCGCCAAAGCTGATTCTGGTGATGCATCGATGTCTAAACAAAACATTGATGTTTTAAAAAAAAATTAATTTGCTAAAAATCACCCTTTCTTATCTTATTTTGACACAAATCGCTTACCTTTCTCATGTCTTATTTCATTTTCCAATGTTTTCTTATATTCTTGCGCTTTAATACTGTTTTAGCTGGTCGAAATGAACCATTAATCTAAAAATTTACTTTCATTTCACCGTTACTAGAAGTTCCCGGATGTACCAGTGTACTCTTATTAATTTGTTCTGTTCGGTATTTTAGTGCATTAGCATTCGGTATTTCAGTGCACTTTTCTCAGACTTTTTCTCGATGTACATCGCGATGTTCACCGATGTTTACTACTGAAAATTACTGATGCATCGATGTATGATTATGTTACATCGCGAAAAAATACAAATGTCATTCGTGTGCAATATGAATGTATTTTTCTATATATTATGGTACAATGGTCTATAGATTTCTTATTTTTCAGGTTCAACTGCTTGCCTTTGAAGCAGTGTAACAGACTGTATGGCAGAGAAGCATCAAACTATAAGAGGCTTACTCACGTCGAGAGCTACTATGTTAGATTTTGAAAGTATAGCTCTCCATCGTGAGGATCTCCCAGCTGAAGAATTGTAACATCTTAATTTGATCAGCGCCAGTCAACGGCTTGCTGTTTGTCTCAAACTGTAGCCTACATATGGGCTCATATGTGTCTACTTTCCCCGTGCATGTAGGATCGCGGATGTGCTTCTATGGCGATCAGGAGTTCTAATCGTTTTTGTTCGATACCCATTTCCAATATGGCGGTTAAACGGAAATACTATCGACGCATGCGCAACTTGGGAAACGTCAAGCCGCCATATTGAATATACCTGGCCAAAACTTTTGACACGACCAATAAAATGAAGTCCTGATCGATACATAGGGCAGTGAGACGTTCTATAGAGTCCATTTCATTGCTTCACTTCGTCAGTAGAACGGCAAAAATAAGAAATTGGGAGACCATTGTGCAATAATATATGGAAAAGTATATTCATAATGTACATGAATGACATTTGTATATTTCAGATTTTTTAGTTTTTTGTGCAATAAGCCTGTGCCGTCTTGTAATTTGAAGAATTTCAGCCATGTTAATCTTATTGAAAATAACATGGCAGAGAAACATCCAAATATAAGAGGCCACACACTTTATAAGCCAAACTAGAAGCAATCCAAGATATACAAATGTCATTCATGTACATTATGAATATACTTCTCCATATATTATTGCACAATGGTTTCCCAATTTCTTATATTTGCCATTCTACTGACGAAATGAAGCAGTGAAATGGACTCTAGTTGAGCTGAATGAAAGATGGCGATGTAGGATACATTTTCAGGTATATAATGTGCAACATGAGTCAGCTGAATTCCCTGAAATTTTCTTTGAAGTCAGGATTCTTAAGCTGTTGATCCTAGCGATAGAGAGCTATACTTTCAAAATCTAAGTAGCTCTCGACGGGAGTAATAAGAGGCCACATACTTTATTAGCCAAACCAGAAGCAATCCATGATATGCAAATGTCATTTATGTACAATAGGTTATAATTTTTCATATTTTATTGCACAATGACCTTTTGATTTCTTTTTTTTTTAGGTTTTACTGACGAAATAAAAAAAATGAAATGGGCTGTGGGCGATAATGTGTGATTTTGAATTTGATTTTGAATCGCCACGTAATATATAGTTCCTAACCAGACGCTTTAATTTACATAACACGGCTAAATGGTATATAAAGTTATGATGTATACTAACTTCTTGTAAAAGGACGATGAGCCCATCTTTAGAGAGGATTTCAGGATGAAGAAGGTCAATTTTTGCACGATCTGATTTTTCGTCGTCTTCCATGTTGAACACAGTCCATAAAAAAGTTAATTGTAATTCATGAAGACATGTACTACATAATGATGAGCTACATTTCTTCATTCTCCACGTTGTAAGCTCATGTGATCAGTTCTAATGTAAAATTCACCAATCACTTCATTTTCTTAATATTGTTGATGTAAATATCATCCAAATCAATATAAGGAATGTGTACCCTCATTCATTCAACTAAAAGGACCAGGTACAATACACAGTGTCCGTTGGTTCTTTACCCCGGGTTCTTTACATATTCCTATAAAGTTAAATGATTACATATCCACGTATAGTAAGGCTAGTAAGGCACGACATACTGTATACCATTCGAGATAGCATAATTATCAATAAGTGATACAACTTTAGATATTGTTCCTTTTTGACAGTGTTGAAATAGTTCGGGTTTGTCCGGGGGTTTGTTTTCCTTATGCCAGATGTACACTTTGATACATTCTTTTTCTGGCTAGGTTCTGTAACTCATTTTGGTCCTTTCTGTAGACCTGCGCTTACATATTTGTAAAACTGATGATTGAAGTTATAGATTTTATATTTTCAAGTTGACAGACTTGAGTGAAAAGCAGGTCGCCTAACACTTGTAAAACATAATTCTTGTTGACGTTCATTCTTCACGTGATATGCTATAAACTATTTTTCTATTTTGCTGCTGAAAACCCTAATGACTCAATGAATGGATAATTCAATGCACCCTCGTCTTGTACTGACGAGTATGTTAAGCTTTGAATATGGGCTTTCGCCCTCATTCAGTCTTTTACAAGACATCGTGTTCATAATCATTCATAGTTCATTGAACCCTTGGCTTGGGTAGTGTAACAGATAGAAAGTTTCTACTACCGACCAGCTTGCTTAGGACTTCATAGCTCAGTAGATAGAGCATAAGTCTTTGGATCTAAGTGTCCTGGGTTCGATTTCCATACGGGGCATTGGATTTAGCACACTTTCTTTCATTCCAGTACTGGCTTTTTTGTTACACTATGTTCGTTAGTTAGTGTTTCCCTTGTTGTATCGCAGTATAGGGCAGAATCAAGTTCAAAGGATGAGAGTATCATTGGAGAGCCTATAATGCAAAGGAAAAGCTACATTGATATGTGCATGTACTCTTAAAATCACATATTTATCTCGCTCTCCGAATCATCCTATCTTACTTTTTGTACTTCCGTGTATATTGCACGTGTAATACCATCTTACACGGTTCAATGGGTAAACACTTCTAGTCCTTTTGCTACATTGCATTTTGAAGGCCACCATCTCATTATTTACGAGGCATTGTCGTCCTTAGCTTAATCGATGAATGTCCAAATGGTGCAATTTCATTTTATTAAGAAAACATATTGATCGATGGAATTAACCCAATTGGAGCGTTTATTCTTAACTCAACTGGAGAATGAATCCACCTTAGATAGGCATACTTTTAGTGAGATACTGCCATCTGGCTATGATAGTTCTGTTATTCCTATGAATTTTGATAACCTCAATTGTAGTTATATAGAAGTCACTAGAAGTTTGAAAATAAATGATAGCTATGGGCAAAAAATGAATTTCTAACCATATTTCTAATATAAGATGGGAGGTTGGATCAAATATACCTTTGATTGAATAAGAGTATATGAAATATATCTCCTGTGAAGAGTTCAGGTATACGAATCAGCCATATTGCTCCCCTTTATACTGAAACCTGCTACTTACTGTATTCAGGTTAATATGTATCAGTTTCACAGAGTTAATAAAACTTTATTAATTGGACAATAAAACAATGTTGATATCTCGTAAATGTAAGTAATAAAGTCGAGATTGTTTCCTCATGTGGAATTATCGTTTATCGGTTATGTTAAAAATCACAAAGGAAAATGTCGGTACAGTTGGCTGCATATTGGTATTGGGATTCAAACTCATCAAACCAATGTGAGCTTGAATCTCAATACCAATACCGATATGATCCCATTTTGTGATTTGATAACTTTTTTTAAATCCCAATTGTGGTAGAGTCCATGATTTGACTAAGTATGCCATATATCAAATTAAAGTAGCCAAAATGAAAGTGCACCTAATGTTTTTGCAGCCAATGCAATCAGTTTGCAATGTGTACACAGTTCAGTGAATGTACCTATTTTCTTTTGATATAAGACACAATTAAAGTGGGAATCGATGTCATTTTCGATGAAGTTCCGAATTCAACACTATTGAAAAACAGCTTTATAGTAACCTTTATAGGTGAATTGTAGAAGCACACTAATGGATATTATTGCTTTTGTATGAGATGAAATGTTTTTATTTGTTTATTCAATTGGTCAATGGTCATGATCAATGGTAAATTGTCACCAGGTCACGGCAAATGGTTCATCGTTACTTCCTGCGAAAGTTATGTGGATTTTGATCGATTGATACAATAGCTTTCCCACGGCGCACTTAGACAACTGAGTAATAGTGACCGTTAAAATATGAATAAAGATTTCAGCGGCTTACTTTTGATCTCTAACTGTGTCTTACATCCGTATCATCAATCCGTGCAAGTATTGGAGCGCTGAAATACTTCTTTTTCGATCAAGACTTGTAAATTGTTCATCGAGTGAATGTTTTTTCGACCCATTTCCAATATTGCGGTTTGCTAGGAGCGAGATACGCAACGAACGAAATTAATTTTGAGAATGATTAGGTTCTGACCCGGGGGTTCTGACAACCTCTGGAGATTCACGGAAATGTCCGAGCAGAAAACGCCATATTGGAATTTGGCAGTAAAACATATATTCGACTAACAATTACAAGTCTTGATCGAAAGGAAATACTTCAGCGCTCCAATACTTGCACGGAAGGATGATAATGCTGTATAACATAGTTAGAGAACAAAAGTAGGCAGCTGATCGACTTAATTCGTGTTAAAAGGTCACCTTTATTCAGCTGTCCATTTCCCCGTTTGAGAGCCATAAGTTTCAAAATCCAACATGGCTCTCGGAGTGAGTAAGTTCATCCCACATTATTTCATGATTTTCAAATGTTCATTATTTCACGCCATTTCAAAACAAACGTTTTTAGATTTTCAAATGCAACATTTAAACATTGTTCAACACATTATTTTTATTTAATCACTTAAACAAGTAGACCGGGCAAAATCATATTATATCAACCGTCTCTGATTTAATGCATATATACACATTTAAAGCATTTTTCAAATTTCTGATGTCACAATAATACGCTATGATGTCACTGATGGCAACAAATTTTTTCAAATTTTTTTTTCTTGTTCAAATATATATAAAAAATATATATCAAAATAAAGCAATAGTGTTGGCTGAAAATAAGGTTGAACATAAGCTTTCATGTTCAGATACTTAGTACTATGTACCATTGGATTCAATGAAAACTCAATTTTCGTGTACGTTTTTGGTTAAAAAGATTTACGTGACAACTAAAATTTTATTTGAAATAAACTCACATTGTTTATTTAAACAAAAGGTCTTTCAAAGTCAACTTTTTGAAATTAAATGGAAAAGTTTTACATAACACATTGGGTAGACTATATCATCCGAGGGAAATGCATTTATATATACCCGAGGGACCGTAGGACTGTATTTATCGTGCAGATATCAATATCACCTCGTAGATAAAAATGATATTCCTCAAAATTATAGGATATCCTATAAATAATAGCCAAAGTGATTCAAATTTTATATGAGGCCTTTAAACAATGCATCCAGTACATACAATTAATTACCCCATCGTTGTTATCATATCTGATAAATCACGTTTAATGCTTGATGTAATAGGTAAAAAAAGATAATGCTTACTTTTTACTTTATTCTTAATAGACTTTCAATCGGATTCGATGAAACTACGATTCATATCATATGTTGTATCTTTAGTCAGAATAATGCATGACTGAAAGTCCAGTATGAATTTTAAAATAATTGGATCCAAGTGTCGTAGCTGTGATAACAGACCTAAGACGTTTTTATCCCATACTTGGACGTGTTACAGGTACATAAAGCAGGTTTAAAATTACTCGAGTCTCTAGCTTACAGCTAGACGAAACTTCATTGATTTCGTATGTACTGTGCTATACGCACCTACACGCACCTAGAACTCATTTTTTATAAATTTTATAAATATTTTTAAGAATATTAATCATATTTAGGATGAAGCGTTGCTTGTCTGGATTTAGATATTTCAAAATTTCATTTTGGAGTTTGACACATGGTGAAATTTTCTCGCTGTAGCTAAAAATGGCTTCCAGTTCTGGACGTGAATAACATTTGAAATTATTCTCGCTTCAAGAAATCAAATATAACAATAGATTGATTCAGACAGGGATGTGAGCTGATGTTCTTCAAATCTATACATAAAGGTATATTTCATATTATTATGCCATATTTACTGTGCGTGTGGCACAATGATTTACAATATTTATAATACTAAGGCAGCTCAATCTTCCTCCTCAAAGCCGGAATATAGAGAAGGCTTTGGACCGAAGTAAGTTTAAAAAACCTACATTTTTAGCAGCGGGCAAATATAGCTTTACGTCCCGCTCCGAACAGGCAGATATAGTATATCATAATTGCCACTCGCATATTGGTTAATTTAGTAACGTTCGCATAATAACTGTAAACGACAATGGAGAAAAACGAATGCGATTTGTTTGATGTTAAGGAAGGGAAGGAGCATCCGGTTTATCAAAAATTCGAGAAAATGAATGTGGGAATATCCGAGAGAACTGGAAATTCCGGCCACAGCCAAGAAATTAAAACTCAGCATGAATATTCTAAAATATTTCCACGGTTGAACTGTGGCCAATTCCGGTGGCCAATTGTACAATTTGAGCGAGATGACCAAAAATGGCATGGGATAAACATCATCCTATAGTCGGTTCAGGATATTGGGATTATCCCGAGGCCAATATAATATATCTACCCTCGGGACTTACGGCCCTCCGGCAGATATATTATATTGGCATCGGGAACTACGGCCCTCGGGCAGATATATTATATTGGCCTCGGGATAATCCCAATATCCTGAACCTCATATAGGATAATCTCTATATACTCGGGTTTATATATTCGGCGGGCCTACAACAT